ATAGATACCAGTGTTAAGATAAACTGGGTTTTAGCAGCCGGAGCGAAAGATAGGTACCAGTGTTAAGATAAACTGGGTTTTAGCAGAAAGATTTGAACGTTCACGGTCGCGACCCGATTCGATTCAATCGATAACCAGTGCTTAGAAGCGAACTGGGGCACCAGTGTTAAGATTTTACTGGGGTTTCTGAAGACAATTTCATCTTTGGTCGGATATCTTCGACCAGATTGTCTCGAATGTTTATATAGCGCGCTGTAACCGTGGAGGTGTAGATGAATTTAGTTCGTGGGCGTGGCCATCGCCCAAACGAACCGAACGGAGTTTAGACCGTGTTGATTTCCCGAGGCGAGTTTCGGGGTAAAGACCGAGGTAGGTTTAGTAAAACCCGAAGTGTATACTTAGAAATATAGTTTGATAAAATTTGAATAGGAGTATAGGAAACATATAATTGATAAAGTTTGAGTGGGAGTATGGATATACGGACCCCACTCTCCCCCCCCCCCCCTTTTTGATAAGGGGAGGTAGCTGAACTCGTCCGAGGACGAGCTGCCTACGTACCCTTTTCGGGGATCAAGCCACCCCGTAGTTCAAGCTTATGCGTACCTTAGGTTTTTAGCGGTAGTATTTCCTGAGGTGTTTCCATAACTGGGATAGTCTCGGCCTCCTCAGGACCAATTGTGACGGCAATGGGGTTAGGATTCGTCATCTCCACCTCAGGCTCATCGGTCGCTTTGGGAGGAGCAAGAGTTCCGAGAACGGCCTCCAGAGCTTTCTTCTCTACGGCCGCCTTCTTTTCTGCAAGGTACTTCTCCTTGCTTCGGCCAATCTTCGCCTTTTTATGATTGACCTCGACTTTAGATTCGGCGACGATGTTTCGAAGTTTATGTGCTGCCATGAAGCACATCCTGGAATTCTTTTGGCTTCCCCATATCGTTTTCACACCGTTAGGCGTCGGGAATTTCAAGCAGAGATGGTATGTCGAGGAGACAGCTCGCATTAGGTTTAACCATGGGGTGCCCATAATGGCGTTGTAGATGGTCGGCTGATCTGTGACAGAGAAATCAACTATCTTCGTTATTCCACTGGCCTGGACTGGCATCTGAATAGTTCCGAGAGTCATTAGGGTTTCTCCAGAGAATCCAAGTACTGGCCTCGGAGTCTGGTTTACTTGCGACATGCTGATGTTCATTTGCCGAAGCGTCTCGAGGAAAATTACGTCAATAGTGCTGCCGGTGTCGATCAACACCCTTGATACGTCGTGATCTCCGATGGCAAGCGTGATGACCAGAGGGTCGTTATGAGGCATGTCGAGCCCATTTGTCTCACTTTCTTCGAACATGATTACATCGTTAGGTTGGTCGAATGGCCTTAACCAGTTGCTGGGTGCTTCGGCTCGTCTCTGATAGGCTTTGATCGCGGCTACGGTGTCGGGGCAAAACGCTGTTCCTCCCATTATCGTGTAGATTCTTTGTCGTGTTCCGTCACGCTCCTCGTCGGGTGTTCCCCGGACTCTCTTCGGAGCCTCTGGCTCCTTTGGCTCGGGACCCCTTGCTGTGTCCACCTGTTCGGGCTGAACTTGTTCTGGCTGTAGGTCTTTGAGGGTTATGTTCGTCCCAAGCTCTCCGGCTAGAAATTTGGCCGCTAATATTGCTCCGAGGCTCCTGCATCTGGAAGTGTGATGCCCGATGGTCTTGTGATGCTCGCAGTATTCTTTTTCGTCACCTGGGGGTTGACATCTTGTCCAAGTGAATGAATCTCTTCCTCGCCCACGGCCTACGTCGACTTGATAGTTGTGGGCTCCTGAGAAAACGTGCCCCTCGTGGTGCGTGTACGTTTCACTCTGATCCGGCTTCTTCTGGCTTAGCGGTCCTGTTTGGGCTTTCTCGGTTTTCTCGGCTCGGGGCGCCTCTCTTTGTTGGCTCATGCCTCTTTGCTAGCAGCGCCATCTCTTCTTCGTGGGCGACAAAATCCGAGGCTCGATGCAGCGCGTCGCGAATTGTTGTCGGTTTAGACAGGTTCA